AATATTCTCATTGTTTTTGAATTATGTGTATGGTATGTGTGGTATGTGCATGGGAGTACGGATGACCATGAAGTCCAAAAGAGTGTCAGATCCCCTGGAGTTACAGGGACTTGTGAGTCTCCCAGCATGGGTACTGGGAACTAAACTCAGGTCCTCTGCAAGAGCAGTATGCACATTTCACTGCTGAGCTATCTTCCCAGCCTCTTCTTTCTACAATTCGTTTTTGTTGTGTTTTACATGCCAGAATTTATGCTAAGCTTTATTATGAAAATTAATGCAATCACTTTAATACACAATAAATTGAGTACCTACAACATGATATGGTAATACTCAGTTACTTTATTCTTTGTAACCTTCACACAAGCATTTCCATCAGGATTGCTTTCCCTGTATCTCAGATGAGGCTTAGAAAGAGAACCTTATTTAGATCACATGACCAGCAAATGACAAGCTGAAATAAAGTTTAGAAAGATTCACTCAGAAACCCTGAAGGCCAGTTACCATTCTGTTCCAATATTATAGATACCAGGTCTAAAGTAACATCAGATTAGACTTTTATAAGGATGAATCACTTGGTCTACAAATAAGACTGTGAAATGTGAAAAATAAATGATGTGTCATGTGTCTACCTAAAACCATACTTTCTAATACACTCAAGTAGTAATTTCTTCAGTTAGAGCCTGTGCTGGATAGCTCTAGGGTCAACTTGACACACCTGGGTTGAGGGAGCTTCGATTGGGGAATTACATTCATTGGATTGGCCTGTGGCCATGTCCATGGGGCACCTTCTTGATTGTTGAGTGATGTGGGAGGGCCCACCCCACTGTGGGTGGTGCCACTACTGCGCAGGTGGGTCTGTCTTGCACAAGAAAGCAGGCTGAGCAGGGGCCAGGAGAGCAAGTCAGTAAACAGTGTTCCTCCATGGCCTGTGCTCCAGCTCCTGCCTCCAGGTTCCTGACCTGAGTTCCTACCTTGGAACATCGGGAGATGTAAGACAAACCCTTTCCTCCCCAGGTTGGTAGGGGTCAGAGTGTTTTGTCACAGCAATGGAGAAACAAACTAGGACAGTGAGTGCCTTTCCAAAGGATTGACAGTGATTTAACCATTTAATTCCTTAGAAGTCTAGACAAAATACCAGGTTTGAAGCTGTGAGAGAACAAACTCTAAAAGAATATACATGATACCAGGATTGTGTATGAGGATAATAGAGCTTTTTATCACTAAGCATTGGGCCAGCTATTGGGCACAAGGTGTCTATGTATATGCCAAACCGTGTAGATATGTGTCTCAAACAGCTAAGAGATGGCACAATTAGACATTGGATTCTAAAAGAAGGATGTCATATAGGGGAATAATTGAATGTAAGAATTTATTAAAGAGATGTTAGGAAGATGGCTTAATGAGTACATCACTGGTTCCATGAGGAGCTGAGTTTGGATCTCTAGCAAGCAAGTGAAAAGCAAGGCATGGAGAGGAACACCTGCAAACCCAGCACCGGGGAAGCAGATACACTAGGATCTCTGGAACTTGCTGGACAGCCAGTCTAGCCAATCAGTGAGCCCCAGGTTCAGTGAGAGACCCTGTCTGAAAAGCACAAAATAATTGAGAAAGATATTCAACATTTTTGGCCTCCACTTGGGGGGAGAGAGAGAGAGAGAGAGAGAGAGAGAGAGAGAGGATTTATTAAAGAAGGTGTTTTATTTAGAGTAAAATAAACTATATTAGTATTTACAAAAAACTACAGCATACAGAAGTATTCTAACAATGGTTGGCATAATTAAAAATCAGATTTCCCAGTAAATTAGCAGCTTCTCATGGACTCACATGTGAACACTGTCCATTTAAGGACATATTTTGCATAAAAATGTGTCATATATTAAAAGAACATTCAAAAGACATATAGAATATACTATATATAAACTCATTAGTATGCCTTTTAAAATTACCTTTTCTTGTTCTATTTTCTAAATGTTATAGAATACCCACATATGCATTTGTTTATATATACATATGTATAAATTAAAGGCTAGGATTTACATACAAGGGGCAATATGTTTTTTTCAGAGTTTGGGTGACCTTACTTAATATTATCCAATAAGAAATGCCTACCTCAATTTGATTATAAAGTTAAGAGATATAGGAAGTCCTTAGAAACACTGACACAGAGGACAATGGCTGTAACAAAAATCACTGGCTTAGAAGGCTTGTGAGGTTATGTAACCTACACTGTGCCATCTGCACAGTCCAGTGAGTGACCTCCCATGGTAAGCTGGGCCAATTTTAAGGCCATTATTGGTCAGCCCATCAGTCCTCATTCTGGTAATTACTTTAGAACCTATCAAGGAATCCATTTCCCCAGCCACACCTAATGTCATTGTCAAAAAGTAAGCCCCTCAGAATCTATCTCTGAGATTTTGAACATTAGAGAAGCCAAATCATCCCCTTTTCCATGATGGAAATCTTAGACTAACGAACATGGAGCTATCATTAGCCAGATGAAGAGGAAAAATTCCTATAGTGACTGAATGTAGAGTTCACATGTAGAGAAACAGAAATGAGGACACAGGAGTGGAGAAAGGTGTTTGGCACTATTTCTCAGATGTCTCAATCTACTTGAAACAGAAAATTTCTTTGAATTCACTACCATTTCTTTTAGATGTGTTTTCTAGTTGAGATTTGATTACTATTTTCTAAAGTGTCTGTTTTATGTGTGGTTATATCCTGTGTGTATGTGTGTTACATCATGTGGTCTAGCCAATCAGTGAGCCCCAGGTTCAGTGAGAGACCCTGTCTGAAAAGCGCAAAATAATTGAGAAAGATATTCAACATTTTTGGCCTCCACTTGGGGGGAAAGAGAGAGAGAGAGAGAGAGAGAGAGAGAGAGAGGATTTATTAAAAAAGGT